GAGAAGTTTGATCACATCATTAATGTGATAAAGCATCAAAAACCATTTCCAACATTTGAGGAGGCCAAGAACATGCTTGAGTTGGAAGAAACAAGACTCAAACGCTCACACTCGGTTCATGTCAGCCACACGGATCATGCCTCTTCTGCAACAGCCTTAACAGTCACTGAAGCAGAGAACAAGCAGAAGGACAACAACCGGAATCAACCCAGGAACCGAGGAAACCGCAGGGGCCGCGGTCGTGGACGGTATAACAACTTCAACCAACGCCCACCCTATGGAAACTGGAACATGCCCCCCTCATACTGGCCGGGACAACACAGCGCTTGGCAAAATCAGCATGCTCCTTGGATAAACTATCAACAGTTTCCCAGAGCTGCCTCTCCACGCACCATTACTCCACATGAAGCTCAACTCGCTGCCAACACCTATCAACCGACCAGAGATTTTGCAGAGGCATTCAACACCATGACTCTATCGGAGCCATCACAGAACTGGTTCATGGACTCGGGAGCCTCGTCGCATCTAGCTTCCTCGTCAGGTACACTTCATTCTGTTTTTAATTTAGACACCGGAAACTCTGTCATAGTAGGTAATGGATCATCCATACCAATAAAGTCATCTGGTACTTCTTTCCTTCCTACCATGACACGTCCTTTACATCTAAATAATGTTCTTGTTGCACCTGATATTGTCAAAAATCTTATTTCTGTTCGTCAGTTCACGAAAGATAATTGGTGCTCTGTGGAATTTGACCCGTTTGGTTTTTCTGTGAAGGATCTGCAATCTCGGAAAACCATTCTCCGCAGTGAGAGCTCAGGGGATCTTTATTCTGTACCTTCTTCTTTCAATAATAGCAGCCACTCTGCTCTTGTTTGCGAAACTCCTTCTCTATGGCATAAGCGTTTAGCACATGCTAATAATGACACTCTTAAGTCTTTGTTTTCATCAAACTCTATTCATTCTAATAATAAGACTTTTTCTTCTTGTCAAGCGTGTCATTTAGGGAAACATCTGAAATTGCCATTCTCAAAATCGGTAACGCAAACTACTAAACCCTTTGAGCTCATACACTCCGATATCTGGACCTCACCAGTCCCCAGTTTAAGCGGTATTCGCTATTATGTTGTGTTCCTTGATGACTTCACGCATTACTTATGGGTCTATCCAATTCGAAACAAAAGTGATGTGTTTTCCAAATTTTTACATCTCTCTGCCTATATCAAAACTCAATTTGGGGCTCAAATTAAAGCTTTTCAATGTGATAATGGGGGGGAATACAACAACAAAAGATTTCAAACACATTTCGATTCAAATGGCATTCTTTTCCGTTTTTCATGTCCTTATACTTCTCAACAAAATGGAAAATCTGAACGAATGATCCGTACTATAAACAATGCCATTCGATCTCTTTTGTTTCAGTCTCACTTGTGTCATCATGAGCCTACCTATGATCACCTGAGAGTGTTTGGTTCTTTATGCTTCCCCAACATCAACAACTCCACAACTCATAAACTCTCTCCTAGGTCCACGCCTTGCCTCTTCCTCGGGTACCCTCTCCATCACAAAGGGTATCGATGCTTGGACTTAAAAACAAACAGAATTATCCTTTCTCGTCATGTTCTTTTTGATGAGACAACTTTCCCTGTAGCTCAAACACCGTCTAGTGACACAGGTACTTATTCTTTTCTTGATCATAGTGACAGTCCCTCACCTGTGTTTCACGATATCTTGGTCTCACCTCAAACACCACTCACAAATGCTCCTGCGCCGGAGATTCCTGCTCCTCCGGTAGCCATATCAACCACTCCTTCTTCTCCTGAACCGCACAACGATCCACCAAAGAGTCGGATGGTTACTCGAGGTCAGCTAGGTATAGTAAAACCCAAGAAAATCTTTACTCTACTGACCTCATCGGTTTCCAGGATTCCCACCACACACCAAAAAGCCTTGTTGGATCCAAATTGGAATCCTGCAATGACAGAGGAGTACGATGCACAAATTAAAAATAAGACTTGGAGTTTAGTACCTAGACCTTATGGAGCTAACATCATTAATTCTATGTGGTTGTATAAGCTGAAACATGATGCAGATGGAGTACCTCAGCGGCACAAAGCAAGACTCGTAGCTAATGGAAAGACGCAAGAGGCAGGTGTAGACTATGAAGAAACCTTCAGTCCTGTGGTTAAGCCAGCTACAATACGTGCGGTGCTCAATGTCGGATTGAATCGGGGCTGGGAGTTCAAGCAACTAGACGTCAAGAATGCTTTTCTTCATGGCACCATATCCGAGACTATATTCATGCACCAACCTCCAGGCTTTGTTGATAAACAACATCCTAATTATGTTTGTAAACTCAACAAATCTCTTTATGGTTTGAAGCAGGCTCCTAGGGCTTGGAACGCAAGATTCAGCACCTACATCACGCGACTTGGATTCAAGATCAGCAAATGTGATGCATCGCTCTTTGTCTACAAGAATGGTCAAGACATAGCTTACCTGCTGCTATACGTGGACGATATCATTCTCACCGGCTCCAGCAAAGCACTTCTCAACCGCATCACAGCTCATCTGAAACTAGAGTTTCCAATGACTGATATGGGACGGCTTTCCTATTTCTTGGGCATCAAAGTCGAGTACAATGCTGCTGGCATACTCCTAACACAACATCAGTATGCTAAAGAAATCATCGAACGCGCTGGAATGAAAGACTGCAAGCCAATCGCCACACCTGTTGACGTCAACTCCAAACTATCAGCTGAAAACGGGGCAAAACTTGACAATCCAACACACTACCGCAGATTGGCTGGTGCTCTTCAATACCTTACTTTTACACGACCTGACATCCAATATGCAGTCCAACAATGCTGTCTCTTCATGCATGATCCTCGACAACAACATCTCAATGCACTCAAGCGCATTATCCGCTACATCCAAGGCACCTCGTCACATGGGACTCAAATTTTCAAGTCCAGAATTGATACACTAACAGCCTACTCGGACGCAGATTGGGCTGGATGCCCTGACACGAGACGCTCAACTTCAGGATTCTGTGTGTACCTCGGTGAAAGCCTGGTATCATGGTCTTCAAAACGACAAGAAACTGTCTCCAGGTCCAGTGCAGAGGCTGAATACCGTGGCGTTGCGAACACGGTTGCTGAGACGTGCTGGATACGCAACCTACTGCTCGAGCTTCATGTTCCTCTAACCAAAGCTACACTCATTTTCTGCGACAACATAAGCTCTGTTTACATGTCTTCCAACCCTGTCAAACATCAAAGGACGAAGCACATCGAACTTGATCTACATTTTGTACGCGAGAAGGTAGCTCTTGGCCAGGTTAAAGTCTTACATGTTCCTTCAGCTTTCCAATATGCCGATATCTTCACGAAAGGATTGCCATCTTCACTATTCATGGCGTTCAAGAACAGTCTAACCATCAGACAATCCGATGCTTACACTGCGGGAGGGTGAAAGAATATGCCACTCAATATTCTTATACCTCACATATACTCTCCTGTAATATAGGAAGATATTAGCTAAATGTATCTACTCTGTGTATATATACTCTTGTAATCACGTTGAGTAAGATAAGGGAAATATTCAGACTTTCAACTTCTTCTTTAAGAGTTTCAAGAAACTTTTGTAATGACAATAATATTTTCTTTTGGTAATCAATGACAATAATATTGTTCAAATGTTTACATTTGAAGTTTTCAAACCTACGAGATTGAATCATGCGATGCTATTCAAACAAGCATGCGTTCAACGAGAGTATATCAAACGAAGAAAAAATGCATGTCATTCATTGGTCAAGGTTTAGCCCAGACAAAGAGACATGCGACGTGGTATCTTTCTTTCATAAAATCAACCATGGACTTTTATTCTAGTACTGTATTTGTTTGGGACTTCTTAAATGCATGTGAAGCCCAAGATCCAATGCAGTTGACAAAATGCTCCTGTCTCTCAAAACAAAACAAATTCCATTTTGTCGAAATCCTCAAGAAACAGCGTTAAGAGGACCCACATCTCGACCCGACACGAGATCCAATCCTTGAAGCCTGAAATAAAATAAAATGGGCTTTATATGGGCCTTACAGGTAGATAACGTAATCAAAGATTTGTATCCGCTGAGTCGCATCCTCTATAGTCTATACTGTCCAGCGAGTATAGAGGACTTAAACTTTTACTCTCTGATCCGGTTAAGAGAACTGAAAGAGCCTAGCCTAGCCTCCATACCATGACTTGGTCATATCCAATATGAAATCAATATGTTTGAATACGTGTTTCTCTACTACTTTTATTTCATATATGAAAGGTTCACCAAAACACGGTTTGTTGACATAAAAGGGAAAAACAAGACGTGCTCTCCATAAAAACATCTAAAAATGGAATCGAGTAGAGAAAAACACGGACTAAATCACGGACAAATCTCCCACTTTCTAAATATTCCCCTTCTCCCTTACACGACCGAGTTAGTAGGCAACAACCATAGAAATTTTAAAATTAAATAAAATAACAAAATGAAAGAAATAGCTGACAGATTATTAAAAAAAAAAAAACAGAATAGAGGAGATGGAATAACCACTAATGAATTGGCATCAATTTTCAAACTCACTACCAACTCATTTGACATCGAATAATAACAAAAAATATATAAACATTTTCTAGACGTTTAATTTTCTTTCTTTTTTCAGCTAATAGTCATATCCTTTTCATTCCCATAGTTAAACCTAAAATCATAATGACACTTCAATATTAAATTTATTACACCATTACAAAACACGAAACTGAAGATTCTTCCGTTCCTCATTACCGTCCGACCAAGAAAAAGCCTCTCTCTCTCTCCCCCTCTTGTCTGTTCTTCATTTTTTAAGAGATGAGATCTTTCTATTCTCATCGCCATTGATCTCTTTTTTTTGTTCTAAAACCTTTCTGAATCTAAACCTTGTTTATTTCTGAGGAAGAGGGTTATTCAGATTCTCAGGCCGGTTCTTAAGATGGGGGAGAACGCGGCGGAGAGAAGATCTGGTTGTGGTTTATTGAGCGTAATGTTCGGTAGACGTAACTTGTGGTCCAAGAAACCTACACCAACCGATAACGGTAGCCAAAAAAGCACATCAACCGCTACCAGCAACATTCAGTTCACTAAATCTCCCGGTAACGACTTAAAAAAGCCTCACGATGACGTCAAGGTTACCATAGACCCGATCCACAACAACAAGATTCAGAATCAGAATCAAAGATCGGTCGTGCCATCAAAACCCTCTTCTAATCAATACCCTAATAACCATCAACTAGGGACTTATCAACAACAACAACAACGAAGTAGTTACAGCAACAATAGTAATAGCGTTGATCCATACAGAGGAGGACAAAGGAAAGTACCTAGAGAAGCCATTGGTTTATCAGGTGAGCTAGAAAGCATGTTAATCGACCATCAAAAATCAAAAGGAACCAACGGTTTGGTTCGTGCATCTTCTAGCAATGTTATGTTATACGGTAACCTAGGGAATCTAAACCAGTCCGGACCAGCAACGACCCTAGGTTACGGTAATGTTGGTGCAGGAGGATATGGTGCGACGAGGACCAATGTGGCTGCTCCCGCAACGGTGACAACAAAGAGCCAAGATCAGACAGGATCTTTGTGTAGAGCAATCTCAACAAGAATGGATCCAGAGACGTTGAAGATAATGGGTAATGAAGATTACAAGAATGGGAACTTTGCTGAGGCTTTGGCTTTGTATGATGCAGCCATTGCTATTGATCCTAACAAAGCTGCGTACCGTAGCAACAAGAGTGCTGCCTTGACTGCACTAGGTAGGATTCTTGACGCGGTTTTTGAATGTAGAGAAGCTATCAGAATCGAGCCTCATTACCATAGAGCACATCATCGGTTGGGTAACTTGTACCTCAGGTAATCTAAAAAACCCTAAATAAATAAAACTTTTTTGATGTAATAAAAGGTTTTGAATCTATTAAAAATTTTGATAGGTTAGGAGAAGTGGAAAAATCAATGTATCATTTCAAGCATTCGGGTCCAGAGGCTGATCCAGAAGACATTGTAAAGGCGAAAGCTGTTCAGACACATATCACTAAGTGCACAGAAGCTAAGAGGTTACGAGATTGGAATGGTTTGATCACGGAGACAACAAACACAATCTCTTCAGGAGCTGATGCAGCCCCACAGGTATATTCATTGCAAGCAGAAGCATTCTTAAAAACGCATAGACATCAAGAAGCAGATGAGGCTTTGTCTAGATGTCCGGTTTTCGATGTGGATACCAGTACTAGGTACTACGGACCGGTCGCTTACGCAGGTTTCTTGGTTGTCCGTGCTCAGGTGCACTTGGCTTCTGGCAGGTTCGTTTTTTTTCTTGGTTTATTATATATTAGGGTTAACATATAATAGTCTGCTCTGTGGGCTGTACTTCCACCCGAGAGTTAGATCTCCGCCAGACCTGTGTCTTTAATAGATCCGGGTTTAACCATTTTTTAGCAAACAAAAAACATATAATAGTCTGAAATTTGAATATTCCGGTTTTATATTACAGTTTTTTTGGTTATTTTGTTTTAACTTGTGAGTTTTTTTTCTTGGTCTTTTATATATTGGGGTTAACATAATAGTTTGAAATTTGAAATTTGAATATTCCAGTTTTAAATTACAGTTTTTTGGTTATATTGTTTTAATCTGGCGTTGAGTATTTGAGTGGACCTTGTTCAAATTTGAATATACTGGTTTAATATCACAAATATTGTTCTAAATCTATATTTCATTTCACAAATACTGTTTTTAATCCCATTTTTTTGGTGGTTTAATTTTTGTGACTAATATACATGTGTTGAGTTAGAGACCTCTAGTATAACATTTAACTTGCATCAGATTCGATGAAGCTGTGGAGGCTATCCAACGCGCCGGGCAGCTAGATGGGAATAACCGAGAAGTGGCCATGGTTTCACGGCGAGCTCAAGCGGTGACAGAAGCTCGGTTCAAAGGAAACGAGTTGTTTAAAGCTGGACGGTTCGAAGAGGCATGTGCTGCTTATGGCGAGGGACTAGACCATGATCCAAGAAACTCTGTTTTGCTATGTAATCGTGCAGCTTGTCGTTCGAAGTTAGGCCAGTTCGAAAAATCTGTTGAAGATTGCACGGCAGCTATCTCTGTCCGGCCAGGATACCGCAAAGCTCGCCTTAGAAGAGCTGATTGTAACACTAAGGTAAAGAAAAAAAAGAAAAAATTATTATTTTTTTTTTAAATGAGGTTTTTGTTGTAATTTAAATGTATTTTTTTGTGGTGGTGGCAGATGCGAAAGTGGGAGTTGGTAGTGGCAGACTACGAGATATTGAAAAAAGAGACTCCTGAGGATGAGGAAGTGACCAGAGGATTATCAGAAGCACAACAACAACTCATGAAACGTCGTGGCCAAGACTCCTGACTGATTTCTGTGGGGGTAAAATATGGAATGAGAAAAAAGAAAACACTGGCGGAAAATTTCATGTTTGATTTTTGTTTTTGAGCCGGCAAGTGACACCTAAATGACAATCTTGTGGTTCTTTAAACTTTTTATTTTGTTTTTTTTGGGTGATTAAATGTTGTATAGGAAATGAGATTGTGGTGATGCTGTATTTAGATTTTAAACACACAATTTGTCCATGGTATATCAAAAAGCTTATATTCTCGGGCCATAATCTAATCTAAAACAAATTACATATGTAGCTGTAGACTTTAAGGGGTGTTAATGAGGATTAGCGATGATGAATTATCATTGACATAGAATAGAGATATTATTAATGCTAACCACATTTTGTTAGATGTTTTCTGTGATCACGATCTTAAAGAATTGTAAATTGGTAATACAATAACACATTTGCTTTCACAACAAACACACACACACACACACACGAAATCTCAATCACATATATGACACATCTTTCATTGACCCTGCCAACATGTTCACAACTTCACATCGTGGGAGCAACGACTTGGAAATTCTTGACAAAGTCCGAACAAGGATTCCTAATTGCCGGCAGCTCATACTGCGAAGCATCACGAGCCAACCATTACACACTGTGAAATTCTCCTACTCTTCTGAGAACAACTTCTTTTAAGGGTATGAGTTCGGTTCAGATTTATTCGAATTTCAGATTTTTGAGACTAAAATCTATCTTTATAGTTTTCCTCACTAGATGGACTATTAATTTATGGTTGAGAATGTGAGAAAAACACTTATTAAAGTCTCACATCGATAAAATATGTGATCTTTGGAAAATATATATGTGTATGGGTAATCCTCCATTCTTGAGCTAATTTTTGGGTGTGAATTAGGTCCATCACTAATAACCTGGAACGGGAGTAGCAACTGCGTTGAACGATATGGATGTGAGCTGAGACTACATTCTTAAGCTAATTAAAACACAAGATGCAGGAGCAGTGTACTGAGGTTTGTACAATTATACTCTTACTTCTAATACTTGGTGATTTACTTACCGATCCGTACGAGAATGCCCCGGCCTATAACTCGTTGGGACTAGTGAGTTATGTTACCTCTTTTTTCAACAGATCTTCTTTTTATAGTCAGTTGGATCTCGTTGTTCTTCTTAATCATATACTTATTTTATCATATACTACATTGTAAAATGTCAACTGGGTTTATATAACCCATACCATAATTTGGGTTTTGTTATGGGCCTTACGTGCCTTATTATTCATCGTAGCAAACTTAATGTAATCAACTGCCATAAGATTAATGTCTTTTTCTTTCTTTTCTCCACAATAATGTTACTAGATTTCATAAAAGTATTAATAAATGTAACAGTTAAAAAAAAAAAAATGTAAAATGCTCCTAGACGCTGTTCTCGAGGCACAGCAAAGATTCAAATTTTGAATCTCATCGTCCTCCTCCACCATGTCTGACGCATCGGAGCTTTTTGCCGGTTACTTGCTTTGATTTGTTGGCGATGTGGTCGGACATCTTTTTGGATCTGAGAAACCAAGATTGTGCTTCCGTTCTCCTGCCGTGCGCCTCTGTTTTTCCCCAACACCTGCGTTTCCCTACTGCACCTCAAGCATCAATCTTTCTACCGTACATCTGCGTCTCCGTCTGAAGTTTTTCTTCAAACGAAGCCACTCTAGCCAAGTGCGAAGAACTCTCTTTTTTTGAGCTTGAAGATCTATAGTTTGTGGGTTTTTGAGCGTGGGTGCTCAACTCCTTCACTCTTTAAAAAAAAAAAAAAAGTTCTCGAGACGCGCGTTGTCGTCTCCGACCGGATCTGTGACGCCGGATCATCTTCCTCCTCTGACGTTGCCACAAAATCAGTACCGAAGCTCTCTTGATACTGATTTGGCTCCAAAAAGATTTATTCAAGAATTTTGAAGACCATCAACGACGACGTTTGGCTTTCTCCGGTGTTTGTCTTTTTTGTACGAGATCTGTGTTTTTTGATCAAGTCTTTGGAGCATATCAAGCTAGATCTGTTATTTCAAACAAGAGTTTGTGAAGACTAGTCTCTGAAAGATTGTTTCATTGGCCTATCTCCTCACTCATATCAACGGGAATCTTCTTATATGACCTAAGCAGGAGTACTTTGGGCTTGGAGTTGACTTGAGTGAAACAAGCTCCTTTGGCCTGTGTTTCTCTCGGAAAGTTCAAAAGAGTTCTTGTTTACCGTTCACATTACTCAGACCACATATCCACTTTCAGATAGTTTGTTTTTGGTTGATCACATTAGAGTTTTCTGATGTTGATAAATCAAATATACAACTACTTCTATTAAAAAATTATTGCTTTATCAGCTTCTGAGTTTCACTCCATTCTTCTAAAGGTTGAAATAGAGTAGATATTAAAGGAGCTCCGATAAATTCTACGATAGCAGTAAAAGAGATTGCAAGTCTTACATTCGTGATAAAGAGCATACAGGTGGTATCCATATCAACCAGCAGTGTGTTCTGGATCATCACATTAGTTTTTTAACTGGTGTTGTTATGTCTAGTATACAATAAACCCTCGAAGATCTCGAGATGAATACAATTGCATGGAATTGTCAAGGGGCGGGAGCATCTTTGACCAAGGAGCACTTACACGAGTTGTTTCACTGTTTTTTACCTCAATTTTTATTTCTGTCGGAGACTAAAAACAATCGAAATTTTATGCAAGATGTGCAAGTTTCTTTTGGATATGACCATGTTTGTACCGTAGACCCGGTGGGTCGAAGCGGAGGTCTAGCCCTTTTTTATATGGATGATCCCTCGGTTCGTATTTTATATGCGGACGAGCATATGATCGATATTGAAACTAGACTTGAAGGACATGCAATTTTTATGACATTTGTGTATGGAGAACCTGATATCAGATATCGTGATTTGGTTTGGGAACGACTGTCACGTATGAGTACAACTCGTACTGGCGCATGGTTTATGATTGGAGATTTCAATGAGCTCACAGGCAATCATGAGAAGAGGGGAGGAAGACGTCGCTCAGAGAGTTCTTTCCTCCCTTTCCGAATCATGTTAGAAAACTGTGGAATGCTTGACTTCCCATATAAAGGAAATTCGTTTTCATGGGTGGGAAAAAGGAAAAATGGAAAAGTTAAATGCAAACTTGATAGAGCAGTGGCAAATGAGGAATGGCACGACCTGTTTAACCATAGTATTGTGGAATATTTACAGCTATGGGGGTCGGACCATAGACCAGTCCTTACAAGGATTCAATCATCCTCCCGATGTACCAAGAAGAAGAATTTTAGATTTGACAAGAGGTGGATAGGCAAACCCGGGTTTAAGGAAGCGGTAACTTCGGGATGGGGACAATTTGATGACACTCCAGTTCGGAATTTTCATCAAAAAGTTACCTCATGTCGGAACAAGATCAGTACTTGGAAAAAAAATAATCCGACAAACTCAGCGGTCCTGATTGAAGATTTAAAAAACATGATTGATTTGGCCCAAGATGATGAAAACTCCACTACCGAGGAACTAGAAGATTTGAAGCGACAATTGATAATGGCGTTTAAAGAAGAGAACACTTTTTGGGAACAGAAGAGTAGAGATCAATGGCATAAATATGGGGACAGAAACACAAAATTTCACCATGCCACTACAAAACAACGCCGAGCACAAAATCGAATCATAAGTATTAAAGACAAACATGGGAGGTTGGTAGAGAGTGAAATCGAGGTGGAAACCGTTGCTGTTCAATACTTTCGTGATCTCTTCTCTACCTCCTCCCCAACAGAGGTTGACACCTCCCTTCGGTTTATTACAGAAAAAGTTTCCCAGGCCGACAATAGGTTACTCTTAGAGGTACCGTCGGAACAGGAGATTCGGAGAGCCCTCTTTGATATTAACCCGGATAAAGCACCAGGACCGGATGGCATGACTAGTAAGCTTTTTCAGAAATTTTGGAGTGAGATGCGGCAAGATATCATTAAACTAGTACAAGATTTTTTTGAGACGGGCAGCTTTGATCCACTTTTGAACCAGACGAATATATGTCTTATTCCGAAAAAGAAGAAACCCCGGGAGATGTCGGAATTTAGACCTATTAGTCTTTGCAATGTTAGCTATAAGATTATTTCTAAGCTATTATGCAAGAGACTTAAGAGGCTAATCCCGAGACTGATTTCGGAGACACAGTCAGCATTTGTGACTAAACGTTTGATCACTGACAACATCCTTATAGCACAAGAGAACTTTCATGCCCTAAGGACGAACCAAAGATGTAGGGAAGACTTTATGGCCATCAAGACCGATATGAGTAAAGCTTACGATAGAGTGGAGTGGAGTTTTTTGGCTACTCTGATGTTAAAGATTGGCTTTGATGAAAGACTGGTTGACCTCATTATGTGTTGTGTCACGTCGGTTTCATATCAAGTTCTAGTCAATGGACAACCGAGAGGCCGGATCTTACCAAGGAGGGGCCTGAGACAAGGAGACCCCCTGTCCCCCTTCTTGTTCATCCTATGTACAGAAGCTTTGATCTCGTTGTTGAATGGAGCAGAAGCGGAGATGAAGATTGTAGGTCTTCGGGTGGCACAGGCGAGCCCAAGGACCTCCCATTTATTATTTGCGGATGATAGTCTCTTCTTTTGCAAGGCGGAAGTAAGCCAATGCAAGGAGATCATAGACATCATAGACATTTATGGAAAAGCATCGGGACAAAGATTAAATGCGGCGAAATCATCAATGTTCTTCGGGAACCGTGTAGACTACCTTCGGAAACAAGAGATAAAAGAGGTCTTGGGCTTCTCGACCGAAGGAGGCATGGGGATGTACCTTGGACTACCTGAACAGATTTGTGGTTCGAAAACCAAAGTATTTTCCTATGTACAAGACCGGTTGAATGGACGAGTGAATAATTGGTCTTCGAGACTACTGTCCAAAGGGGGAAAAGAGGTTCAGATTAAAGCGGTGGCCCAATCAATTCCGACATACCCAATGTCATGTTATTTGATTCCTCAAGGCATCATTGATAAACTACGAAGTACAAACTCAAATTTTTGGTGGAGCTCAAAACAGAACAGCAGAGGTTTGCATTGGATATCATGGGACGAAATCTGTACTCCTAAGGATTTAGGGGGACTAGGATTTCGTGATCTCCATGATTTCAACTTAGCACTTCTTGCGAAACAATTATGGCGGTTGATACACTACCCAAACTCATTATTGGCACGTGTCCTAAAAGG